CTCTCTCTCTCCCCCCCGTGGTGGCGTGGATTATTTTCTCCCGGTCCTCCGTTTTTTTTTCCTCCACATTAAGAATCAACATCTTGTGTGCACGCGTGTTTGTGAAGCTTCTTTCGCACCGTACCTAGCAGACCGTGCTCATCCGACAACAACCCCAAACACAAAATTCAGTGCTAAATAAATGGATTTTCCGTCTGGCCATGATCAATCCCACTGCTGGATGAAGGCCTCTCCAAGCGGGGGGGGGGAGGGGGGGGGGGGCGCCAGGTCTCTGTGGGACTCGTTCCATTCCTTTGGCTGACATCGGCCATCACCTCTTTACTGAAGTTAATGAATAAACGAATACATGAATAACGACAACTGGCGCGCATGCCACGGAAAAAACAAGCGAGCCACGCACTTCCCATTAGCACGGTTGGCTACGTACGGTGCGAAAGACGTTCAACGTACAACCACAGAGACCCACAGACACTCAGACCCACAGAGACCCACAGATTAGCACGGCCGGCTACGTACGGTGCGAAAGACGTTCAACATAATACAACCACAGAGACCCACAGACACTCAGACCCACAGAGACCCACAGATAATCACGGTTGGCTACGTACGGTGCAAAAGACGTTCAACATACATACAACCATAGAGACCCACTTTAACCCAGACCCACAGAGACCCACAGATAATCACGGTTGGCTACGTACGGTGTAAAAGACGTTCAACAAACATACAACCACAGACACCCACAGAAACCCAGACCCACAGAGACCCACATATTAGCACGGTTGGCTACGTACGGTGCAAAATACGTTCAACATACATACAACCATAGAGACCCACAGAAACCCAGACCCACAGAGACCCACAGATTAGCACGGCTGGCTACGTACGGTGCAAAAGACGTTCAACATACATACAACCACAGAGACCCACAGAAACCCAGACCCACAGAGACCCACAGATTAGCACGGCCGGCTACGTACGGTGCGAAAGACGTTCAACATAATACAACCACAGAGACCCACAGACACTCAGACCCACAGAGACCCACAGATAATCACGGTTGGCTACGTACGGTGCAAAAGACGTTCAACATACATACAACCATAGAGACCCACTTTAACCCAGACCCACAGAGACCCACAGATAATCACGGTTGGCTACGTACGGTGTAAAAGACGTTCAACAAACATACAACCACAGACACCCACAGAAACCCAGACCCACAGAGACCCACATATTAGCACGGTTGGCTACGTACGGTGCAAAATACGTTCAACATACATACAACCATAGAGACCCACAGAAACCCAGACCCACAGAGACCCACAGATTAGCACGGCTGGCTACGTACGGTGCAAAAGACGTTCAACATACATACAACCACAGAGACCCACAGAAACCCAGACCCACAGAGACCCACAGATTAGCACGGCTGGCTACGTACGGTGCAAAAGACGTTCAACATACATACAACCATAGAGACCCACAGAAACCCAGACCCACAGAGACCCACAGATTAGCACGGCTGGCTACGTACGGTGCAAAAGACGTTCAACATACATACAACCACAGAGACCCACATAAACCCAGACCCACAGAGACCCACAGATAATCACGGTTGGCTACGTACGGTGCAAAAGACGTTCAACATACATACAACCATAGAGACTCACAGACACTCAGACCCACAGAGACCCACAGATTATCACGGCTGGCTACGTACGGTGCAAAAGACGTTCAACATACATACAACCACAGAGACCCACAGAAACCCAGACCCACAGAGACCCACAGATTATCACGGCTGGCTACGTACGGTGCAAAAGACGTTCAACATACATACAACCATAGAGACCCACAGAAACCCAGACCCACAGAGACCCACAGATTATCACGGCTGGCTACGTACGGTGCAAAAGACGTTCAACATACATACAACCATAGAGACCCACAGAAACCCAGACCCACAGAGACCCACAGATAATCACGGTTGGCTACGTACGGTGCAAAAGACGTTCAACATACATACAACCATAGAGACTCACAGAAACCCAGACCCACAGAGACCCACAGATAATCACGGTTGGCTACGTACGGTGCAAAAGACGTTCAACATACATACAAACACAGAGACCCACAGAAACCCAGACCCACAGAGACCCACAGATAATCACGGTTGGCTACGTACGGTGCAAAAGACGTTCAACATACATACAAACACAGAGACCCACAGAAACCCAGATCCACAGAGACCCACAGATTAGCACGGTTGGCTATGTACGGTGCAAAAGACGTTCAACATACTCTTTGGTTCTATTGGGTAAAGTCACGTAGGTGAAAATAAAAAAAACAAAAAATCACGACGTTTCGGCCACAACACAAGCGGCCTTCATCGGGTGAAGGGACGAGACTGTCTGGAGGACAGCGCTGGAGTGGAAGAAGCCACGTTTAGATCACGACGTTTAAGCTGTGTGAGAAGAAACAAAGCGCCTTGACAAAGGAATTAGCATAGAATTTAGCATTGAAATGGCTCATTGAAAAAGCTAAGTTAAAGTATACACATCCGCAGAGGTACCCCTTGACAAAGGAATTAGCATCGAATTTAGCATTGAAATAGCTGAGTGATTAGCTTGTAACTGGTCACAGAAATAGCTATGTTAAAGTTAGAGCATATACATTCACCGAGGCACCTAGTACTCATCAAACAGGAGAATTTAGCGAAACACAACCACGCTCAGACATCGGACCTGTGTGCGAGCAAACAAGGTGTTCTGACAAAGAAATTAGCATAAAAAATAGCATTTGATTGGCGGATTTTAGGAAAGAGGTGGTGTACGTGCCGGTGGACTTGCAGTTTGGCGCGGGGGGGGGGGGAAGGGGGGAGGGGGAGTTTACCTATTGATGGTGTGAAAAGGGGGAATTTATAAGAGCTGCGAAAGTTTGGGGTACCACTACTTGAAAAATATACTGTACCATTGAAATTAGTTTAATGTTTAGTTCAATTTAGAACATCTTTCCAATGGTTGCTTAATTTGAAACCATCCTCTCGGTTGAAATTGTCTCTGTGTTTGTAGATCTGAATTGCTTCATGAACAAATCTCTGATAAAATCCCGTGGGTTTGCAAAGAACCTTGGTATCGGAGAAAATTATATTGTGATCCCCCACAGCGTTGTAACAGTGATCAGCCACGGCAGAAGAATTCGTTTTGCCGTGTTTCAAATCTGATTTGTGCTCGCGAATTCGGTCAGAGACATGTCGCTTTGTCTCACCGATGTAGCAATCACCGCAGGTACAACTCAATTTGTAAACCCCGGGGTACTGTAAATCAGGAATGACATCCTTCACGGATGGGATCAGATCACGAATTTTGTGTACTGTGTTGAACCGGACCTGGATCTTGTGTTTGTTTAGAATTTTCGAAATCTTTTTAGTAACGCCTGCTATATATGGAAGTGTGATGGTTTTGACTGGAGTATCAAGTGGTTGTTTCTGTATGGAGGGAGAGACAGCTTGGCGGATGGTACGGTCAGAGTAACCATTCCTTTTGAGGGCCAGGTGTACATGTTTTAATTCACTGGTCAGGTGGTGTTGGTCCGAAATGCAATGAGCCCTATGGTATAAAGTTTTGATGAGAGAATTATTTTGGGCTGGGTGGTGGTGGGAATCAGGTTTCAAGTAGGAATTTGTGTGGGTGGGTTTCCTGTAGACAGAATGCCCCAATGAGCCATCAGGTCTCCTCTCAAACAGAACATCTAAGAATGGTAGCTTGCCATCTTTCTCCACTTTCATGGTGAATTTGATGGCGGGATGTCTGGAATTGATGTGGTGTAGGAAAAGGTTCAGAGCTGGGAGGCCATGTGGCCAAATGATGAAAGTGTCATCCACATATCTCTTCCACAGGGAAGGTCTGAGGGTGGAAGTCTGGATGGCGTCTGATTCAAATTTCTCCATGAAAATATTGGCTATCACTGGTGATAAGGGGGATCCCATGGGGGTACCCTTATTTTGTTTGTAGAAGGAGCCATTCTAAGTAAAGTAGGTATTGTTGAGGCAGTGCCTAACCAGTGCAGGCGTGTCGGGGTCTAGTCCATGTTGGACCAAATTTTCAATTATTTCAATGGTATCAGGTACTCGGACCTTGGTGAACAAAGAGACCACATCGAAGCTGACAAGGATATCGTCAGGGGACAGTACAACGTCTTTGACCATAGAGACCAATTGGGCTGAGTTAAGTACTGCTGAGGCGGTCTTGCCAGTGAAAGGCAGCAAGGTATCTGACAAAAAACGGGCTAGTCTATAGGTAGGGGAGTTGATCGTGGATACGATGGGTCGAAGTGGGGTGCCTTCTTTATGAATCTTGGGAAGACCATATAATCTAGGGGGTCTTGCAGCAGAAGGTTTTAGGGAGGGACGTTTAGTTGGGTCGATTAGGGAGGTCGAACTTGTGATGATCTTGTTGGTTTTTATCGCTAGGCTATTAGTAGGGTCATTTTTTTATTTTTGAGTAACTTCCGTCGTTGAGCAGATTCTGGATTTTGTTGTTGTATGAATCTTTATCCATAATAACAGTAGCGTTGCCTTTATCGGCTGAGAGGATGACTATATCACTTCTGTTTTTTTAATTCGCGAGTTCAGAGCGTTCATTTTTGCTGATGTTACTAATGGGTTTCTTAGCACTCTTAAGAATAGTGGCTATTTCAGCTCTCGCAACGTCTGCTTGTATGTGTCCTACGCCTTTGAGGGCTACATCGACCTGAGAGACAACCACAGAGACCCACAGAAACCCAGAGCCACAGGGACCCACAGATTATCACGGCCGGCTACGTACGGTGCGAAAGAAGCTCCACATACACGCGCGCACGCAAGGGTTATCGGTCACACGTGAGGAGTCGACTCCACGTCTCAGCTGCGACAATTCCCATCCTCGCGCGCACAGCCACCCACATAAAAGCCTCGCGAGAGCCGCGAGCCCCCGAAGTCGCCTGCCACTCACGCGGCCATGCGCTCTCTAGCCACACGAGCTGCTGCGCTGCCGCCCCTGCTGCTGCCCCTGCTGCTGCTGCTCCTGCTGCAGCCGTGGCAGGGGCGGCGGGGAGCGTGGGCGCAGAGCTGCGACGGCGGCGTTCCCGAGGACCGCCGCGAGGACTGCCACCCGGAGCCTGGCGCCAGCGCCGAGTCGTGCGCCGAGCGCGGCTGCGCGTGGTGCCCGGCCACCGCCGCCGCGCCGGGCGCCCCGTGGTGCTTCCGCCCCAACTCGGCGGGAGCCGCCGGCTGCCGTGCGGTGTCCGACGCCGCCAAGCGCGACTGCCACCCCGAGGCGGGCGCCGCGGAGGGCGCCTGCCTCGCCCGCGGCTGCTGCTGGGCGGTGGTGGAAGCCCCGGGGGTGCCGTGGTGCTTCCACGAGCCGGGCGGCGCCTGCGACAGCGGTGGGTGGGGGCACGCGCCCCAGAGGAGTTTTATTTTAAATTGTTATTGGTGGTGTTGTTGTTGGTGGCTGTGTTGTTGGTGGTGATGTTGTTGGTGGTGATGTTGTTGGTGGTGATGTTGTTGGTGGTGGTGTTGTTGGTGGTGGTGTTGTTGGTGGTGGTGTTGTTGGTGGTGATGTTGTTGGTGGTGTTGTTGTTGGTGATGTTATTGGTGGTGATGTTGTTGGTGGTGATGTTGTTGGTGGTGGTGGTGTTGTTGGTGGTGATGTTGTTGGTGGTGATGTTGTTGGTGGTGATGTTATTGGTGGTGATGTTGTTGGTGGTGGTGTTGTTGGTGGTGGTGTTGTTGGTGGTGGTGTTGTTGGTGGTGATGTTGTTGGTGGTGTTGTTGTTGGTGATGTTATTGGTGGTGATGTTGTTGGTGGTGATGTTGTTGGTGGTGGTGGTGTTGTTGGTGGTGATGTTGTTGGTGGTGATGTTGTTGGTGGTGATGTTATTGGTGGTGATGTTGTTGGTGGTGGTGTTGTTGGTGGCTGTGTTGTTGGTGGTGATGTTGTTGGTGGTGATGTTGGTGGTGATGTTGTTGGTGGTGATGTTGTTGGTGGTGGTGTTGTTGGTGGCTGTGTTGTTGGTGGTGATGTTGTTGGTGGTGATGTTGTTGGTGGTGATGTTGTTGGTGGTGATGTTGTTGGTGGTGATGTTGTTTGAATTTCTGCCCCCCCTCCCCCCCCCCCCCATTTTTTGTGGGAGGGGCGAGGCAGGCGGGAGGATGTGGAGAGGGAGTAAATCTGATGAGCTATGAAGCTCTTTTTCATTTTTTTTAACAGATGTCCGGTAAGGGGGCTGGTCAGCAAGTTACCAACAGCACACAACGCCACAACAACAATGCCATTAGGAGTGCAACATAGATACAAGGTTTACAAGTCACGAAACATCAATGAAAGACGTACAACTTGCACAAGTGCATACATTGGTGCAGATTTGTCAACACTAAATGCAAGCGAGGTGGCGGTGATGGTTACACTGCACGTGACAGTCTCTAATCCAGCACTGCAGCGGCAGCAGCGTCAGCAGCAGCAGCGAGGGGTTGGTGGATCACGGCACGCACCGCTGATGTTGCGACACTCCCTCCCGTCTAGCCGTGGGTGGCCGTGGATGAGGAGCCGTACCCCCTGGGCCTGCCAGGAGACGGCGGCACAGCTAAGATGTGCACTAATCTCCATCTGTTCCGTCTGTGCGGGATACAGTGTTTCCCCCTCGCACGCGTGGTTTTTCTTTTTTCTCTTCTCCCGGGTGCTCCGATTTCGTCCATCACGCGTGAATAAGCGCCCACTGGTTGGCCGCTAATTTGGGACAGGTTTAAAAGTGGGGAACGCATCCCGAGAGAACACGGTCACTCGGTCACGCTGCTGAGCCCCACAGGAGCAAACCAACCTCGACTTTGCGTTAGAAAACAAAACGGGAGGGGACGATTTGTTTTGTCATCGGTCATAGTCCAGTTGATGACAATCTGTGGAATTTGAGTTGAGGCTTCGTGTGTGGATGTATATGTCGTCATTCTCTTCATTACCTCGCACAAAGTAGTTCTAAGGAAATTAGTATCATAAAAAACTTTAGTGTATAGCGGTGTAGTGTGCTGTGCAGTGTCTAGCGTAGTGTGTAGTGTATAGTGTAGTGTTTTAGTGTATAGTGGAGTAAAGGTATGTTGAACTTCTTTCGTACCGTACGTAGCCAACGGCGCTAATCGGGGTTGCGGGGGTAAGGACATCAAACTTAGCACAAAGAAGTTCTAAAGAAACGACCCACTCCTCAAATCGCCCATTCCTTTATTTTTCATTCTTCATTTTTTTTCTTCGGGTGGGGAAGGTGGGGAGAGCGGGGCGGTCAGATCACGTGATTACCGGGGGCCACACCTGCGGTCGGGAATGCCCTCCACCACCCGACGCGGACACGCCGGCCATGGGGGAGTGCACTCGCAAACGCTGCGCCAAGAATCTTCCAGCCAACGAAAAGTCCCGAGAGCCACAAAGCCCCCCCGCCACCCCCCCACTCCAATCAAAAGTGTCAACTCCAGTGACGTCACAAAGGGTGCTCCTGCGCTGGGTGTGATGTCATTTCCTGGCGGAATTGCAGCAACGGCGGTGGGCAACGTTTGCTGAAAGGACGCTGGGCGAGCCCCGGGGAGCAACTTCACGTGACCTTAAAGTGCACCTAGCCTGGTACAAGCGCCGTGGTGACATCACCGCCACATAGTGGCGAATGGAGGGTGTTGTTGGAAGTGCAGTAGTTAGCACGCTCCAAGTTCGATCCCGCTCACGGCCACCAACACCAGTGACGATTAGGTGAACCGGTCCTAGGGCCTCCCCTAGGGCGACTCAGCCTCAAATGAGTACCGGGGTGCGGTGTGTAAACATCGCTACTGGGGAGACAAAGGCGGTCGGGCGTGGTGCTGGCCACCCACCCCCTCGAGTGCCGTTCCGGCCTTCATTGGCAGTGCCCCTCGCTAACGGCACCTGCCCTTCCGGGGGGGGGGGGGGGGGGATGTTTGTCTTTGTAGACCAGCTGGTGGAGGACGCAGAGCGCGTGGACTGCCACCCGGAGAAGGGCGCCTCGGAGGCCGCCTGCCTCGCCCGCGGCTGCCGCTGGTGCCCGGCGAGCGCCGCGGGCGCCCCGTGGTGCTTCATCCCCAGGGACGGCTCCTACGGCTACGCCATGCGGGGAGCCCCGCAGAAGACGGCCAAGGGCTGGAGGTGCCGTGGGGGGCTGACCGACTGACCGACTGACCGACCGACCGACTGACCGACTGACCGTCTGACCGACCGACCGACTGACCGACTGACCGTCTGACCGACTGACCAACCGACTGACTGACTGACAGACTGACTGACCGACCATCTGACTGACTAACTTCCCGACCGACCGACTGACCGACCGACTGAATGACTGCCCGACCGACTGACCGACCGACTGAATGACTGCCCGACTGACCGACCGACTGACCGACCGACTGAATGACTAACTGCGCGACCGACCGACTGACCGACCGACTGACTAACTGCCCGACTGACCGACTGACCGACCGACTGACTAACTGCCCGACTGACCGACTGACCGACCGACTGACTGACTGCCCGACTGACCGACTGACCGACCGCCTGAATGACTGCCCGACTGACCGACCGACTGGCCACCACCGACCGACTGGCTGGGCGTTTTAACTTTCTGCGTCGTTACTTTCCATATCGGAAAGTTCACAAAGTTACGGCACTTATGGCCGTGTCATCTCAGTCAGTCCACCCGTGGCACCTGCTGGGCCTGTCCCGTGGCCTCCTGCCAGCAGGCGTTCGACACTTCACGTGGCCCTTAAAGTGCACGTAGCCTGGCACAAGCGCCGTGGTGACGTCACCGCCACCTCGTGACGAACGGCGGTTTTTGTTGTTGTTGGTGGTGGTGGTGGTTAGCGGACCACGCTACGAACCGGACGGCCTCGAGTTCGATCCCGAACTCACAAACTAATGTCAGTGACGGACATCTGCACCGGTCCTGGGTCCCCCCAAGGTCGACTCAGCCCCAATTTAGCACCTGGCGCGATGTGTAAACAACATCGCCCCCGTGGAAGACAAAGGCGGCCGGGCGCGGTGCTGGCCACCCACTCCATCGTGTGCCGTGCCGGCCTTCAGAGGCGCCGCTGCTGGTCGCGAACAGCACTTGGCTCAACAGTCTGCTAAAGGCTACCCGGGGGATCTTTGTCTTTGTCTCCGGTGTCTTGACCGCTCCCCCCCCCCCACCACCCCCTCCCCCCGGTGCCCCCAGGGTGGACCTGCAGAAGCTACACAGCAGCAGCCTGTTCGGGGCCGACGTCGAGATCATCGCTCTCGAGGCGGAGTTCCACACAGCTGACCGCCTACGCATCAAGGTGAGACGGCCTCGCAGCGTGAACTCGCGTGTCACGTGGGGGGGGAGGGAGGGTGGAGGGTGGAGGTGGGGGGAGGGAGGGTAGAGGTGGGGGGAGGGAGGGTGGAGGTGAGGGGAGGGAGGGTGGAGGTGGGGGGAGGGAGGGTGGAGGTGGGGGGAGGGAGGGTGGAGGTGGGGGGAGGGTGGAGGGTGGAGGTGGGGGGAGGGTGGAGGGTGGAGGTGGGGGGAGGGTGGAGGTGGGGGGAGGGAGGGTGGAGGTGGGGGGAGGGTGGAGGTGGGGGGAGGGAGGGTGGAGGTGGGGGGAGGGTGGAGGTGGGGGGAGGGAGGGAGGGTGGAGGTGGGGGGAGGGTGGAGGGTGGAGGTGGGGGGAGGGTGGAGGTGGGGGGGTAGGAGCACGACATGGCGAGTGTTAAACAAACTCGCTAAGTTCACGATGGTCGCCCGCCTGGACGAGCGACCACCTGGCGATCTGTGGTTGTCTGTCACGCGTTCGAGCGACGACCTCGCGATGGTCGAGCGACACGGCCCCCCAGTTTTGTTGGACACTGCGACCGTGGCTGGAGTGATGCTCTCACCCTTGCCGTGGTGGTTTGGGCGACGCCACGATTATACGGCGCACGGTGGTACGAGATCGGCAAAACGTGAAATCGTTCGCGACGTTTCGCTGGTGATTTCAACCAGCTTCATCAGGCGGTTTTACAGAGTTCTGGCCAGAATTCTGGCAAATCGCCCGATGAAGCCGATTGTTGTAACCCCCAGCGAAACGTCACAGTGCTCAAATCGTTAACATTCAGGCGCTCGAACCCGACAAAAGAAAAACAAAACACGTTTTGTCGCTCTCCGGCGACGTTCAACTATTGTCGCTTTCCTCCCGCACGGTATCCATGTCGCAGCCCGCGCCCCACCCCCTCCCGCGAGTAAACTATAAACTAAACTTTTTGGTTTTTTACATCATGAGGCCTCCTTTGCCAGTACCAAAATATACTAATAGGGATGTTCCCCTTGTATCTGGAAAACAAAAGTGACACCTTTTGCAAGGAATCATGTTTACATTAACCACGTTACTTGCAGTCAAATGCAAACAAAAAACAATGCGAATGATAGCTCAACGGATTTGGCTTCTCGTCATCATCATCATCATCACGTGAAAATGTACAGCAGCAGTCAAATGACTCTAAACGCGTGGCGATGTTGATTCTAAATGTAGAGGGGGACAAATCGCAGGATCCGGAGATAAAATCCACGCGACCACAGAGTGAGAGAGAGACACGGAAACTCCAAATATACAGCAGCAGCAATCGTCAGGATCGAACCCACGACCTCCTGTACACCAGGCGAGGTAGTTAACATCTCGCAGCCATCGTGATGATGAGAGAGAGACACGGAAACTCCAAATATACAGCAACAGCAGGCGTCAGGATCGAACCCACGACCTCCTGTACACCTGGCAAAGTAGTTAACATCTCCTAGCCACCGTGATGATGATGAGAGAGACGCACACACCACGACCTCCTGTACACCTGGCGAAGTAGTTAACATCTCCTAGCCACCGTGATGATGATGAGAGAGACGCACACACCACGACCTCCTGTACACCAGGCGAGGCAGTTAACATCTCCTAGACACCGTGATGATGATGAGAGAGACGCACACACCACGACCTCCTGTACACCAGGCGAGGTAGTTAACATCTCCTAGCCACCGTGATGATGATGAGAGAGACGCACACACCACGACCTCCTGTACACCAGGCGAGGTAGTTAACATCTCCTAGCCACCGTGATGATGATGAGAGAGACGCACACACCACGACCTCCTGTACACCAGGCGAGGTAGTTAACATCTCCTAGCCACCGTGATGATGATGAGAGAGACGCACACACCACGACCTCCTGTACACCAGGCGAGGTAGTTAACATCTCCTATCCACCCTGATGATGATGAGAGAGACGCACACACCACGACCTCCTGTACACCAGGCGAGGCAGTTAACATCTCCTAGCCACCGTGATGATGATGAGAGAGACGCACACACCACGACCTCCTGTGTTCCAGGAGAGGTAGTTAACATCTCCTAGCCACCGTGATGATGATGAGAGAGACGCACACACCACGACCTCCTGTACATCAGGCGAGGCAGTTAACATCTCCTAGCCACCGTGATGATGATGAGAGAGACGCACACACCACGACCTCCTGTACACCAGGCGAGGTAGTTAACATCTCCTATCCACCGTGATGATGATGAGAGAGACGCAAACACCACGACCTCCTGTACACCAGGCGAGGCAGTTAACATCTCCTAGCCACCGTGATGATGATGAGAGAGACGCACACACCACGACCTCCTGTGTTCCAGGAGAGGTAGTTAACATCTCCTAGCCACCGTGATGATGATGAGAGAGACGCACACACCACGACCTCCTGTACATCAGGCGAGGCAGTTAACATCTCCTAGCCACCGTGATGATGATGAGAGAGACGCACACACCACGACCTCCTGTACACCAGGCGAGGTAGTTAACATCTCCTATCCACCGTGATGATGATGAGAGAGACGCAAACACCACGACCTCCTGTACACCAGGCGAGATAGTTAACATCTCCTAGCCATCGTGATGATGAGAAAGAGACGCACACACCACGACCTCCTGCGTACCAGGAGAGGTAGTTAACATCTCCTAGCCACCGTGATGATGATGAGAGAGACGCACACACCACGACCTCCTGTACACCAGGCGAGGCAGTTAACATCTCCTAGCCACCGTGATGATGATGAGAGAGACGCACACACCACGACCTCCTGTGTTCCAGGAGAGGTAGTTAACATCTCCTAGCCACCGTGATGATGATGAGAGAGACGCACACACCACGACCTCCTGTACATCAGGCGAGGCAGTTAACATCTCCTAGCCACCGTGATGATGATGAGAGAGACGCACACACCACGACCTCCTGTACACCAGGCGAGGTAGTTAACATCTCCTATCCACCGTGATGATGATGAGAGAGACGCAAACACCACGACCTCCTGTACACCAGGCGAGATAGTTAACATCTCCTAGCCATCGTGATGATGAGAAAGAGACGCACACACCACGACCTCCTGCGTACCAGGAGAGGTAGTTAACATCTCCTAGCCACCGTGATGATGAGAGAGACGCACACACCACGACCTCCTGTGTACCAGGGAGGTAGTTAACATCTCCTAGCCACCGTGATGATGATGAGAGAGACGCACACACCACGACCTCCTGTACCCCAGGCGAGGTAGTTAACATCTCCTAGCCACCGTGGTGATGATGAGAGAGACGCACACACCACGACCTCCTGTACACCAGGCGAGGTAGTTAACATCTCCTAGCCACCGTGGTGATGATGAGAGAGACGCACACACCACGACCTCCTGTACACCAGGAGAGGTAGTTAACATCTCCTAGCCACCGTGATGATGATGAGAGAGACGCACACACCACGACCTCCTGTACACCAGGCGAGGGAGTTAACATCTCATAGCCACCGTGATGATGATGAGAGAGACGCACACACCACGACCTCCTGTACACCAGGTGAGCCGTGATGATGATGAGAGAGACGCACACACCACGACCTCCTGTACACCAGGTGAGCCGTGATGATGATGAGAGAGACGCACACACCACGACCTCCTGTACACCAGGCGAGGTCGCCAGGAAGCTCGCAGCGGTCAGACGACAGCGGCGTTGAGTTTGAGACCGCGGTGACCTTGACCTCGACCTCGCGTGACCCCCCCCCCACGACGCCGCAGGTGTTTGACCCCAGCCAGGCTCGCTTCGAGGTGCCGCTGCACGTGCCGTCGCCGGACACGGCCGCAGCGGCGCAGCAGTACGACGTCCGCTTTGAGAACTCACCCTTCTTCCACTTCAAGGTGCTCCGCAGGAGCAGCGGAGAGGCCCTGTGAGTCGGTGCGGTGTGGTATGGTGCGGTGCAGTGTGGTGCTGTGTGGTGCTGCGTGGTATGGTGCGGTGTGGTGTGGTGCAGTGTGATGCTGTGTGGGGCGGTGTGGTGCGGTGTGGTGCAGTGTGGTGAGTGTGGTGCTGTGCGGTATGGTATGGTGCGGTGTGGTATGGTGCAGTGTGATGCGGTGCAGTGTGGTGCTGTGCGGTGTGGGGTGGTGACCTCCCTCGCACGCCGTAGGGTCGCTCACCACGAGGTGCAGCAAATCCCTCGCCAACCGCGGGTGGGTGGGGTGGGGGCTGTGGGGTGGGGGCTGTGGGTGGGGGCTGTGGGGTGGGGGCTGTGGGGTAGGGGCTGTGGGGTGGGGGCTGTGGGTGGGGGCTGTGGAGTGGGGGCTGTGGGGTGGGGGCTGTGGGGTGGGGGCTGTGGGTGGGGGCTGTGGGGTGGGGGCTGTGGGGTGGGGGGGTCCGAACACCCGCCGTGGATGGCGAGTGAGACTGCTGTAGCCGTGGCCGCTGTAGCCGTGGCCGCAGTAGCCGGGACCGCTGTAACCGTGGCCGCTGTAGTTGGAATGGCCAAACACCCCCCACCCTGTCCCCGCCACTTCCTCCCTCCCCCCGCCCCCGAATCGCCGCGGTGGCTATGAGATGTTAACGACCTCGCCTGGTCGACAGGACGTCGTGGGCTCGCTCCCCGACAGTCTGCTCAAGGCCACACGGGAGCGGGGTGTTTCGCGATCTAAGCCCCGAAAAATCAACCTTCATTATGGAAAACATCGGTCGCGAAAAGCCCCGAACACTCCTACTAAGGCGGTGGCAGTGGTGGTGGTGACGATCTCTGAGTGGTTGTGTGGTGGTGGTGGTGGTGACGATCTCTGTGTGGTTGTGTGGTGGTGGTGACGATCTCTGTGTGGTGGTGGTGGTGGTGGTGGTGACGATCTCTGAGTGGTGGTGGTGGTGGTGGTGACGATCTCTGTGTGGTGGTGGTGGTGGTGACGATCTCTGTGTGGTTGTGTGGTGGTGGAAGTGGTGGTGACGATCTCTGTGTGGTTGTGTGGTGGTGGTGGTGACGATCTCTGTGTGGTGGTGGTGGTGGCGACGATCTCTGTGTGGTGGTGGTGGTGACGATCTGAGTGGTGGTGGTGGTGACGATCTCTGAGTGGTTGTGTGGTGGTGGTGACGATCTCTGTGTGGTTGTGTGGTGGTGGTGGTGGTGGTGGTGGTGACGATCTCTGTGTGGTGGTGACGATCTCTGTGTGGTGGTGGTGGTGACGATCTGAGTGGTGGTGGTGGTGGTGGTGACGATCTCTGAGTGGTTGTGTGGTGGTGGTGGTGGTGGTGGTGACGATCTCTGTGTGGTGGTGGTGGTGGTGACGATCTCTGTGTGGTGGTGGTGGTTGTGGTGGTGACGATCTCTGTGTGGTGGTGGTGGTGGTGACGATCTCTGTGTGGTCGCGTGTGCCAGGTGGGACACCTCCCTGGGCGGCCTCACCTTCTCGCACCAGTTCCTGCAGCTGGCCACGCGACTCGGGGCCGGCTCCTCCGTCTACGGCTTCGGCGAGCACGAGCACCCCAGCTACCGGCACCACGACGACTTCGTCAGCCACGGGATGTACGCACGCGACCAGTCGCCCACGGTGAGGGGGCCGCGGAGGAGTGGGGGGGGGGCGGTGGGGAGCGCAGGGGGCCGGAGGGGCACAGGGAATGGTGCAGGGAGGGGCGCAGGGGGCCGAGGGGTGGCAGGCGGACGCGAGGTCGATCCAGCAGCTCACCAACAACGATCGGCGACGAACACCGGCACCGGGCCTGGGCCTCCCCCAGCGAGTCGCCTCGCGCCACGTGCACCCAACAACCTCCTGGACACTCGGCACGGTGCTGGCCACACCTCCTCGCTCCTCACCAGCCCTCGCTCCTCACCAGCCCTCGCCCCTCACCAACCCTCGCTCCTCACCAACCCTCACCAGCCCTCGCCCCTCACCAACCCTCGCTCCTCACCAACCCTCACCAACCCTCACTCCTCACCAACCCTCGCTCCTCACCAACCCTCACCAACCCTCGCTCCTCACCAACCCTCGCTCCTCACCAGCGCGCGGTCGGTGTGTGTGTGGGGGTCTCTCTGTGTGTGTCTGCAGCCCGCAGGCAACTTGTACGGAGTGCACAACTTCTACATGGGCGTGGGGTCCGACTTCAGGGCCCACGGAGTGCTGCTGCTCAACTCCAACGCGCAGGGTGAGCAGCCCCCGCCGCCCTTCAAATGCAACATCGAGAGCCAGGGAGGGGGTCGATTGACGGCTGTTCACGATTTGTTTTGACATTTTTATTTAAACAAAAAAAAATGTATCGGTGTGGGGCTGCACCGTCACGTTCCTCGTAATTGAACCGCTCCGCGTCCGGTAAACGCGCGACGTTGGCCCAACGTCGCGCCAACGTCGCGCGCCAACGTCGCGCCAACGGTGCCAAACCTCACGCCGACGTCCGGCGTGGTCGACTGGGCTCGCGCTCGCCGTGGCCCGCGCTGCCAAGCGGCCGGGTTGCCCCATCGCGGGGCCGTCCTCATCGCCGGTGCCGGTCGGCGGCGGTTGTGCCCCGCAGATGTGACGCTGGCGCCGGGGCCGGCCATCACCTACCGCACCATCGGTGGGGTCCTCGACTTTTACTTCTTCCTGGGCCCCACGCCGGAGAGCGTGGTGCAGCAGTACACCGAGGTGACCACCACCGCCGCCGCCACCACCACCACAACCACTACAACCACGACCACCACCGCAACAAATGCTACGACCACTACTAACGCCACTACTACTGTCACCACCACCACCACGACTACAACCACCAACCACCATCATCACGACGACCACCACCGCAACCTTCACCACGACCACCACCACTGCCACTACCACCACCACCACCACCTCCACCACGAACAGCCGCGTCAACTCCGCAGCGTCTCGCTGCACCCATCCCACCGTTCCCTTGGCGGCAGGCTGGCGCAGTGCTCGCGAACAGCACTTGGCCCACCAGCCTGTTGAGGCTATATGGGGGATCTTTGTCTGTGGTGCTCATCGTTATGTTGCGTTGTTGTTGTCGTTGTCGTTGTTGTCACACCGGCTCGCTGTTGGCACGCTGTGGGTGGTGTTCATCGTGGTCGTGGTGGTGTTCATCGTGGTCGTGGTCGTGGTGGTGGTGGTCGTGGTGGTGGTCGTGGTGGTCGTGTCTGTGTTGTTGTCTCATGTTGTTGTCGTCGTCGTTGTTGTGACGGCACCCGACTGCAGGCTGTGGGCCGCCCGTTCTTGCCGCCCTACTGGTCGCTGGGCTTCCAGCTCTCGCGCTGGGGCTACGGCAGCCTGGAGGCTGTCAAGGCCGCCGTGGACAGACTCAGCCAATACGACATCCCGCACGTAGCCTGCCGCACACACCACAGCCCCACCACAGCCCCACCACCACACACGACCCCACACGACCTCCCACGACCCCCCCCCACCACACACGACCCCCCCCCCCCACCACACACGACCCCCACCACCACACACGACCTCCCACGACCTCCACACGACCCCCCACGACCCCCCACGCGACCCCACACGACCCCTCCACAACCCCCCCCCCACAACCCCCACCACCACACACGACCCCCACGACCCCCACAACCCCCCACGACCCCCCACAACCCCCACAACCCCCCACAATCCTCCACAACCCCCCACGACCCCCAACAACCCCCCACAATCCCCACGACCCCCAACAACCCCCCACAATCCCCCACAATCCCCACGACCCCCCACGGCCCGTTCGAAATTTCGTTGAGCGAGAGCGACGATTTATTTTTAGTCGAGGAATCAATTTGTCTGCTTTTTCTACTTTTACGGATTTCTAAACTTGGCGGTGCTCGGTCTCCCCGGGGGGCCGATCGCTCGGCTCCAGCGAGTTTCTGGGGGGCGGGGGGGGGGTGAGAGGAGAGGGGGGATGGGGATGGGGAGGGGGGTGGGGAGGGGGGGATCCCGGTAAGCCGAGTCGAGGACGTCGATCGTGGCCGTCCGGTGCAGCTGACCCCCACGATCTGGCGCGGTGTTTCGCCTCTCCGGGCGGCTCTGTTGGCCCGTGCCGATCACTTGGCCCCGGTGGGTCGCTGGGGTTGTGGGGGGTGAGGGTGGTGGGGGGTGAGGGTGGTGGGGGGTGAGGGTGGTGGGGGGTGAGGGTGGTGGGGGGTGTGGAGGGACGTCGACCCTGGCCGCCTTCTGGCCCCCCCCCCCCACAGGACGTGCAGTACGGAGACATCGACTACATGGACCGCCAGCTGGACTTCACGTACGATACCACGAGCTACGAGGGCCTGCCCCAGTACGTGCAGTCGCTCCGTGACGCCGGCATGCACTACGTCATCATCCTGGTGAGACGAGCGAGGAGCAGGGGGGCTGGGGGGGCTGGGGGGGGGCCTCCATTGCCGCCCCCCTCCGCCCCCCCCCCCACCAACCCTTCCCTTCTTCCCTCCCCCCCAAACGCGACCGGCAATTTGACAACTCGCAACTGTCTCCCGCTTGAGTGGGTGGCGTGAGGTCCGTCCCGTGACTCCGACGTGGTTCTGGCAATGCGCTTGGGGATCGATGACGCAATCTGAAGTGACGCGTGTTTATTTATTTATTTAAGGGGCACCACGCTGGTGCGATGTTGTCTTCCTCGCCCGGTATACAGGAGGTCGTGGGTCCGGTCGCGACCCTGACGCCTGCTGCTGCTGTATATTTGGAGTTTTCGTGTCTCTCTCTCTCCCCGTGGTCGCGTGGAATTTTTTCCTCCGGGTTCCTCCGGTTTTCCCCTCCGCATTCTGAATGAACGTCACGCGTTGAGATGATTTTGCCTGCTGCTGCTGTACATTTCCACGCGATGATGATGGGCCACTTTGTTTAGCTATCATTTGTGATGTCGAGGTCGCTTCTGAAAAAGTAAGTAATTTTTTTTTAGTGTGGTTTTTTGCTTTTATTATTTTACATTTATTATTTATATTTTATTTTTATTATTTACAATTTTAAATAATTTTTTGTTTGTTTTCTATGTACGTGACTTTACCAAAAGGACCAAGAATATAAGTTAATACCTATTTTGCATATCTTTAAGCGATTTATTTACCTTTCCTATAATTTTCACTCCTCTCGTGGTTTTGCGTCGTTCGCCGTTGTAACGTTCTGACTCCGCGCCCCGACTGGACGCAAAGAGCTTCATAGCTCATCGGATTCCTCCTTCCTTTGCAGTTAAAATAAATAAAGAAACAAACGTCGCGATGTGTGCGCTGTGCCCCGCGCCAGGACCCGTGCATCACCAAGGATGAGCCGCCGGGCTCCTACCGGCCCTACGAGCTGGGCCAGCAGATGGGCATCTGGATCAAGAACTCGGACGGATCGCCCGCTGTGGGCAAGGTGCCAGCAGCTACCCCCAAACGCCACCCACCCCATCCTCCCACCCTCGCAGTGCCTCTTTTGCCACTGGCACAACCTTAACCGTGCCAGGGCCGTGCCAAGCCCCGGTGTGGCTCGGGAGGTGCCGGGTTGTTGCTTCCACTGGCACTCCTAAAACCGTGCCAGGGCCGTGCCAACCTTAATGTGGTTGTTTTTCCACTGGCACTCCTGAACCGTGCCAGGGCCGTGCCAACCCCAATGTGGCTGTTTTTCCACTGGCACTGCTGAACCCTGCCAGGGCCGTGCCAACCTCAGTGTGGTTGCTTTTCCACTGGCACTGCTGAACCGTGCCAGGGCCGTGCCAACCCCAATGTGGCTGTTTTTCCACTGGCACTGCTGAACCGTGCCAGGGCCGTGCCAACCCCGGTGTGGTTGTTTTTCCACTGGTACTCCTAGAACCGTGCCAGGGCCGTGCCAACCCCAGTGTGGTTGTTTTTCCACGGGCACTGCTGAACCGTGCCGGGGTCGTTCCAACCCCAGTGTGGTTGTTTTCCACTGGTACTCCTAGAACCATGCCAGGGCCGTGCAAAGCTCCGGGGTGGCTTGGGAGGCCCCGGCGCTTCGAACAGCACTTGCCCCAAGGGCTTGTGAACGGCTATATGGGGGACCTTTGTCCTTGCGTGACGTGCGGCGGTGGTGCGCAGGTGTGGCCTCCGGGGGGCTCGGTGTTCCCCGACTTCACGAACCCCGCCACGGCGTCCTGGTGGGTGCAGCTGTGCGTCGAGTTCAGCGACGTCATCAAGTACGACGGCATCTGGATCGTGCGTAACGCACTCGCTCACCGATTCACGGCTCTCTCACTCACCATGGCTCTCTCACTCACCATGGCTCACTCGCTCACCAATCCACGGCTCACTCACTCACCATGGCTCTCTCACTCACCGTTTCACCGCTCACTCACTCACCACCATGGCTCGCTCGCTCACCGATTCACGGCTCACTCACTCACCACCATGGCTCGCTCGCTCACCAATCCACGGCTCACTCAATCACCACCATGGCTCTCTCACTCACCACGGCTCACTAACTCACCATGGCTCTCTCACTCACCAATCCACGGCTCACTCACCATGGCTCTCTCACTCACCAATCCACGGCTCACTCACTCACCATGGCTCTCTCACTCACCAATCCACGGCTCACTCACTCACCATGGCACTCTCACCGATCCACCGCTCACTCACTCACCATGGCCCTCTCACTCACCACGGCTCACTCACTCACCATGGCTCTCTCACTCACCAATCCACGGCTCACTCCCTCACCACGGCTCTCTCGCTCACCAATCCATGGCTCACTCACCATGGCTCTCTCACTCACCGATCCACCGCTCACTCACTCGCCATGGCTCTCTCACTCACCAATCCACGGCTCACTCACTCACCATGGCTCGCTCGCTCACCGATTCACGGCTTACTCACTCACCACCATGGCTCTCTCACTCACCACGGCTCTCTCACTCACCAATCCACGGCTCACTCACTCAACATGGCTCACTCGCTCACCAATCCACGGCTCGCTCACTCACCATGGCTCTCTCACTCACAAATCCACGGCTCACTCCCTCACCACCATGGCTCTCTCACTCACCGATTCACGGCTCACTCACTCACCATGGCTCTCTCACTCACCACGGCTCACTCACTCACCATGGCTCTCTCACTCACCAATCCACGGCTCACTCACTCACCATGGCTCTCTCACTCACCACGGCTCTCTCACTCACTATGGCTCGCTCGCTCACCAATCCACGGTTCACTCACTCACTCACCATGGCTCGCTCGCTCACCGATTCACGGCTTACTCACTCACCACCATGGCTCTCTCACTCACCACGGCTCTCTCACTCACCAATCCACGGCTCACTCACTCAACATGGCTCACTCGCTCACCAATCCACGGCTCGCTCACTCACCATGGCTCTCTCACTCACAAATCCACGGCTCACTCCCTCACCACCATGGCTCTCTCACTCACCGATTCACGGCTCACTCACTCACCATGGCTCTCTCACTCACCACGGCTCTCTCACTCACCATGGCTCCCTCACTCACCAATCCACGGCTCCCTCACTCACCACCATGGCTCACTCGCTCGCTCAACGATTCACGGCTCACTCACTCACTCACCATGGCTCGCTCGCTCACCAATCCACGGCTCACTCACTCACCATGGCTCTCTCACTCACCAATCCACGGCTCAGTCACTCACCATGGCTCGCTCACTCACCAATCCACGGCTCGCTCCAACGAATCCTGGTCGAAAATTGCCGGGATTTTTTCACTTTTCAACGAGCCTGGCTGTAACTCCTCCGCCTCGGCAGAGAAAACCCCAAATCAGTCGGTCACAGCGGCGCACGCCGCGACCAGCAGACTTTCATCGCCTCCGTCGGCGGATGGCGGATCGGAAGCCCGCCTTGCGAATCGGAGAAAGTTCCGCTTTGATCGTCGACTGCCACTCCTCGTTGACGTTCCCCTTTCGTCACAGTCCCGTTGTGTTATTTTTCTCTCACCGGGGCGTTTTGCTCAACAACAACAACAACGACAACAACGACAACAACAACGACAACAACAACGACAACAACAACGATAACAACGCGCCAGGACATGAACGAGCCGGCCAACTTCGGCACGGGACAGGAGCCGGGCTGCGCCAACAACCCCCTCAACAAGCCGCCATACCATCCGCGTAAGAGCACCCCACGGACGTGCTGTGGTGTGCTGTGGTGTGATGTGGTGTGCTGTGGTGTGTTGTGGTGCGCTGTGGTGTGCTGTGGGTGTTATGTGGGTGTGGTGTGGTGTGCTGTGCTGTAGGTGTTATGTGGGTGTGCTGTGGTGTGCTGTGGTGTGATGTGGTGTGCTGTGGGTGTTTTGTGGGTGTGCTGTGGGTGTTATGTGGGTGTGTTGTGGTGTGCTGTGGTGTGTTGTGGTGTGCTGTGGTGTGTTGTGGTGTGCTGTGGTGTGCTGTGGTGTGCTGTGGTGTGCTGTGGTGTGTTGTGGTGTGCTGTGGTGTGCTGTGGTGTGCTGTGCTGTAGGTGTTATGTGGGTGTGCTGTGGTGTGCTGTGGTGTGATGTGGTGTGCTGTGGTGTGCTGTGGTGTGTTGTGGTGTGCTGTGGTGTGCTGTGGTGTGTTGTAGTGTGCTGTGCTGTAGGTGTTATGTGGGTGTGTTGTGGTGTGCTGTGGTGTGATGTGGTGTGCTGTAGGTGTTATGTGGGTGTGCTGTGGTGTGCTGTGGTGTGATGTGGTGTGCTGTGGGTGTTATGTGGGTGTGCTGTGGTGTGTTGTGGTGTGCTGTGGTGTGCTGTGGGTGTTATTGTGGGTGTGCTGTGGTGTGCTGTGGTGTGATGTGGTGTGCTGTGGGTGTTATGTGGGTGTGCTGTGGTGTGATGTGGTGTGCTGTGGGTGCGCTGTGGTGTGCTGTCGTGTGCTGTCGTGTGCTGTGGGTGTTATGTGGGTGTGTTGTGGTGTGCTGTGGGTGTGCTGTGGTGTGCTGTCGTGTGCTGTCGTGTGCTGTGGGTGTTATGTGGGTATGCTGTGGTGTTATGTGGGTGTGCTGCGGTGTGTTGTGGGTGTGCTGCGGTGTGTTGTGGGTGTGCTGCGGTGTGCTGCGTTGTGTTCAGAGTCACACCGCAGCACTGTGCGTGCGTGCTGCGGTGTGCAGGGATTTCTGGCGACGACCTGGCCGAGAAGACGTTGTGCCCGGACGCGCACACCCACCTGGGCCGCCACTACGACACGCACTCGCTGTTCGGCTGGGCACAGCACGAGCCCTCCTTCCAGTGAGCCGGGGGGGGGGTGTTGAACTTCTTTCGCACCGTACGTAGCCAACCGCGTCAATCGGAGGTGTGGGGGTAGGACAACAAACGAAACACTAAAAGCAGTTGTAGTGAATTGAGTGTTGCATCTGGAGGATGATTTAAAAGTGCGCGGCTCTAATGATTTCCTCATAACAAGGGTGTTCCCCGGTTATGAGGAACACCCTCCCACTCCACGTCGTACAAATCGACTCCCATCGCAGCAGTAGTATTATTATTAATATTCAAATCCGAACTAAAGTTAAAAACAATTTATCTGGGCATATGCCGATTCAAAGGAAACTACATTTTTGACATTTGACCGATCGATCAAAATGAGTCTGCACTAAACTATTTTTATTTGACCAGGTAAGACACACTGACCCATGTAGCTCTTTTTCAGCAGCGACCTGGTTTATCACAAACGACAGCTCAACAAAGTGGCTGACGTCATCGTTGCGTGGAAATTTATAGCAGCAGGCAAATGACTCTAAAAGCTTGACGTTGATTATTACATGTGGAGGGAAAAACCGAAAAATCCACGCGACCACGGGGAGAGAGACACGCAGACTCCAAACGCAGCAGCAGGCATTGTCAGGGTCGGGATCGAACCCACGTCCTCCTGCAAAGCGGGCGAGGGAGTCACGAAACATTTGAGTTGTCCGTGTGGTGTGTGCCAGCGCCTCCCAGAATGCCATCGGGAGAGAGAGACACGCACATTCCAAATCCACAGAGAGCTCGTCAACATCTTCTAGCCACTTAAACGTTGACATTCTGTAGACATTGAGCAGTTGTCTGGCTAACTCGAGGATGTCCGTGTGGTGTGTGCCAGCGCCTCCCAGAATGCAACGGGCAAGCGCGCCTTCGTGCTGAGCCGCTCCACATTCGTGGGCAGCGGCCGCTGGGCGGGCCACTGGCTGGGCGACAACTTCTCGCTCTGGAGGGACATGCACATGTCCATCATCGGCATGCTTGAGTTCAACATCTTCGGCATTCCCTACGTGAGCCTGCAACCCCCACACCGCCGGCCCCGCCACACACAGAATCTTGCCATAATAGAGGTGACGTGGCATTAATGTGTGCCGTTAAACCCGCCGCCACCCGACACAGCCAATAAGTTTTGTCACGTGAAGAAAACATGTTAATTATTTACGAGCACAGCACACGAGTGCTGTGATGTTGTCTTCCTCGACCGGTACGCAGGAGGTCGTGGGTTCGATCTCGACCCTGACGCCTGCTGCTGCTGTATAGTTGTAGTTTGCGCGCCTCTCTCTCCATCATCATCATCATCACGGTTGCTAAGAGACGTTAACTATACTCTTTGGTTCTGTTCGGTAAAGTCACGTAGGTGAAAAATGAAACAACAAAAATCTACCTACGTGACTTTACCGAATAGAGCCAAAGAGTATGGATCTTGGCAGTCACGAAAGCTTCAAATCTAGATGTTAACTACCTCGTCCGGTATACAGAAGTGCTTGGGTTCGATCCCGACCCGTGGTCGCGTGGACTTCTCTCCGGGTCCTCCACATTAAGAATCGACGTCACGCGTCTAGAGTCTTCAGCTGCTGTAAATTCCCACGTGATGATGACGACGACGACATCGGCCACTCCGCTGAGCTATCATTTGTGATAGCCAGGTCGCTTCTGAAAAAGAGCCGCTTAGCTCAGTGGGCCTTACACCCCAGAATAAAAAAATAGTTTTGGTTCCGTTTGAGTTGAACTCCGTTCCCTGCTCATCACACCACAAGGACAAAGATCCCCCTAATGGCCTTCAACAGACTGTCGGCACAAGTGCCGTTAGCGAGCAGCGGCACCACCGGCACGGCACACACGGCGGGGTGGAGGTGGCCAGCACCAGGCCCGGCCGCCTTCGTCTCCCCAGCGGCGATGTTGTACTACGCACCGTGATAGGTACTCAGTTGAGGCCGAGTCGACCTACGGGAGGTCCAGGACCGGCCGTTCGGACGATCGTCCGCCGGTGTCTGCGGCGAGCGGGGACGCGACCCCGCGCGTCCCCGCGGGGTTCGGAGCGCGGCGGCGCTGACCGCTGCTGCCACCGCCCCGTGACGCTCACCAGATCGGCGCTGACATCTGCGGCTTCATCTACGACACCACCCACGAGCTGTGCCTGCGATGGATGCAGCTGGGCGCCTTCTACCCCTTCTCCCGCAACCACAACGGCCTGGGCTACAAGGCAAGGCCAGCTCCATGCTCCCAGCCCCCTCTCACAGCTCCCTGCCCCATTCCCTGGCCACTGCTCCCTGCTCCCAGCTCCCTGCTCCCAGCTCCCAGCTCCCTACTCACGCTCCCAGCTCCCAGCTCCCTACTCACGCTCCCAGCTCCCAGCTCCCTACTCACGCTCCCAGCTCCCTGCTCCCAGCTCCCAGCTCCCTACTCACGCTCCTTGCTCCCAGCTCCCTACTCACGCTCCCAGCTCCCTGCTCCCAGCTCCCAGCTCCCTACTCACGCTCCCAGCTCCCAGCTCCCTACTCACGCTCCCAGCTCCCAGCTCCCTACTCACGCTCCTTGCTCCCAGCTCCCTACTCACGCTCCTTGCTCCCAGCTCCCTGCTCCCAGCTCCCAGCTCCCTACTCACGCTCCTTGCTCCCAGCTCCCTACTCCCAGCTCCCTGCTCCCAGCTCCCAGCTCCCAGCTGCCTGCTTGCTGCTTCTAGATCCCTGCCCCCTGTGTCACCTTGTTCTCCACGTGTCACCTTGTTCTAAGTGTGTCACCTTGTTCTCCGCGTGTCACCTTGTTCTCTGTGTCACCTTGTTCTCCGCGTGTCACCTTGTTCTCCGCGTGTCACCTTGTTCTCTGTGTCACTTTGTTCTCCGCGTGTCACCTTGTTCTACATGTGTCACCTTGTTCTACGTGTGTCACCTTGTTCTCTGTGTCACCTTGTTCTCCGTGTGACACCTTGTTCTCTGTGTCACCTTGTTCTCCGTGTGACACCTTGTTCTCCACGTGTCACCTTGTTCTCCACGTGTCACCTTGTTCTACGTGTGTCACCTTGTTCTACGTGTGACACCTTGTTCTCTGTGTGTCACCTTGTTCTCTGTGTCACCTTGTTCTAAGTGTGTCACCTTGTTCTACGTGTCACCTTGTTCTCCGCGTGTCACCTTGTTCTACGTGTGACACCTTGTTCTCCACGTGTCACCTTGTTCTCTGTGTCACCTTGTTCTCTGTGTGTCACCTTGTTCTACGTGTGACACCTTGTTCTCCACGTGTCACCTTGTTCTCTGTGTCACCTTGTTCTCTGTGTGTCACCTTGTTCTACGTGTGACACCTTGTTCTCCACGTGTCACCTTGTTCTCTGTGTCACCTTGTTCTCTGTGTCACCTTGTTCTCTGTGTGTCACCTTGTTCTCTGTGTGTCACCTTGTTCTACGTGTCACCTTGTTCTACGTGTGTCACCTTGTTCTATGTGTGTCACCTTGTTCTACGTGTGTCACCTTGTTCTCTGTGTGTCACCTTGTTCTATGTGTCACCTTGTTCTATGTGTCACCTTGTTCTCTGTGTCACCTTGTTCTCTGTGTCACCTTGTTCTCCGTGTGTCACCTTGTTCTCTGTGTGTCACCTTGTTAAACGTGTGTCACCTTGTTCTCTGTGTGTCACCTTGTTCTATGTGTCACCTTGTTCTATGTGTCACCTTGTTCTCTGTGTCACCTTGTTCTCTGTGTGTCACCTTGTTCTACGTGTCACCTTGTTCTCCGTGTGTCACCTTGTTCTACGTGTGTCACCTTGTTCTCCGCGTGTCACCTTGTTCTCCGCGTGTCACCTTGTTCTCCGTGTGTTACCTTGTTCTACGTGTCACCTTGTTCTACGTGTCACCTTGTTCTACGTGTCACCTTGTTCTCTGTGTGTCACCTTGTTCTACGTGTGTCACCTTGTTCTACGTGTGTCACCTTGTTCTCCGCGTGTCACCTTGTTCTCCGCGTGTCACCTTGTTCTCCGTGTGTTACCTTGTTCTACGTGTCACCTTGTTCTACGTGTCACCTTGTTCTCCGTGTGTTACCTTGTTCTACGTGTCACCTTGTTCTACGTGTCACCTTGTTCTACGTGTCACCTTGTTCTAAGTGTGTCACCTTGTTCTCGGTGTGTCACCTTGTTCTACGTGTGTCACCTTGTTCTCTGTGTGTCACCTTGTTCTACGTGTGTCACCTTGTTCTACGTGTGTCACCTTGTTCTCCGCGTGTCACCGTGTTCTCCGCGTGTCACCTTGTTCTCCGTGTGTTACCTTGTTCTACGTGTCACCTTGTTCTACGTGTCACCTTGTTCTCTGTGTGTCACCTTGTTCTCCGTGTGTCACCTTGTTCTCCGCGTGTCACCTTGTTCTCTGTGTGTCACCTTGTTCTACGTGTCACCTTGTTCTCCGTGTGTCACCTTGTTCTCCACGTGTCACCTTGTTCTACGTGTGTCACCTTGTTCTACGTGTCATCTTGTTCTCCGCGTGTCACCTTGTTCTCCGCGTGTCACCTTGTTCTCCGCGTGTCACCTTGTTCTACGTGTCACCTTGTTCTACGTGTGTCACCTTGTTCTAAGTGTGTCACCTTGTTCTCCACGTGTCACCTTGTTCTACGTGTGACACCTTGTTCTACGTGTCACCTTGTTCTCCGTGTGTCACCTTGTTCTACGTGTGTCACCTTGTTCTCCACGTGTCACCTTGTTCTCTGTGTGTCACCTTGTTCTCTGTGTGTCACCTTGTTCTCTGTGTGTCACCTTGTTCTCCGTGTGTCACCTTGTTCTCCGCGTGTCACCTTGTTCTACGTGTGTCACCTTGTTCTACGTGTGTCACCTTGTTCTCCGCGTGTCACCTTGTTCTCCGCGTGTCACCTTGTTCTCTGTGTGTCACCTTGTTCTACGTGTCACCTTGTTCTCCGTGTGTCACCTTGTTCTCCACGTGTCACCTTGTTCTACGTGTGTCACCTTGTTCTACGTGTCATCTTGTTCTCCGCGTGTCACCTTGTTCTCCGCGTGTCACCTTGTTCTCCGCGTGTCACCTTGTTCTACGTGTCACCTTGTTCTACGTGTGTCACCTTGTTCTAAGTGTGTCACCTTGTTCTCCACGTGTCACCTTGTTCTACGTGTGACACCTTGTTCTACGTGTCACCTTGTTCTCCGTGTGTCACCTTGTTCTACGTGTGTCACTTTGTTCTCCACGTGTCACCTTGTTCTCTGTGTGTCACCTTGTTCTCTGTGTGTCACCTTGTTCTCTGTGTGTCACCTTGTTCTCCGTGTGTCACCTTGTTCTCCGCGTGTCACCTTGTTCTACGTGTGTCACCTTGTTCTACGTGTGTCACCTTGTTCTCCGCGTGTCACCTTGTTCTCCGCGTGTCACCTTGTTCTCCGTGTGTTACCTTGTTCTACGTGTGTCACCTTGTTCTCCGCGTGTCACCTTGTTCTCCGCGTGTCACCTTGTTCTCTGTGTGTCACCTTGTTCTCTGTGTGTCACCGTGTTCTACGTGTGTCACCTTGTTCTACGTGACACCTTGTTCTCCGTGTCACCTTGTTCTCTGTGTGTCACCTTGTTCTCTGTGTGTCACCTTGTTCTCCGTGTCACCTTGTTCTAAGTGTGTCACCTTGTTCTCTGTGTCACCTTGTTCTACGTGTGTCACCTTGTTCTCCGTGTGTCACCTTGTTCTACGTGTCACCTTGTTCTCCGTGTGTCACCTTGTTCTCCGTGTGTCACCTTGTTCTCTGTGTGTCACCTTGTTCTCTGTGTGTCACCTTGTTCTCTGTGTGTCACCTTGTTCTCTGTGTGTCACCTTGTTCTACGTGTGTCACCTTGTTCTACGTGTCACCTTGTTCTCCCGTGTGTCACCTTGTTATACGTGTGACACCTTGTTCTACGTGTCACCTTGTTCTCCGTGTGTCACCTTGTTCTCCACGTGTCACCTTGTTCTACGTGTCACCTTGTTCTCCGCGTGTCACCTTGTTCTCCGCCTGTCACCTTGTTCTCCGTGTGTCACCTTGTTCTACGTGTGTCACCTTGTTCTCTGTGTGTCACCTTGTTCTCTGTGTGTCACCTTGTTCTACGTGTCACCTTGTTCTAAGTGTGTCACCTTGTTCTCCGTGTGTCACCTTGTTCTCCGTGTGTCACCTTGTTCTCCGCGTGTCACCTTGTTCTACGCGTGTCACCTTGTTCTACGCGTGTCACCTTGTTCTACGTGTCACCTTGTTCTAAGTGTGTCACCTTGTTCTACGTGTCACCTTGTTCTCCGCGTGTCACCTTGTTCTCCACATGTCACCTTGTTCTCCACGTGTCACCTTGTTCTACGTGTCACCTTGTTCTCTGTGTGTCACCTTGTGCTACGTGTGTCACCTTGTTCTACGTGTGTCACCTTGTTCTCCGCGTGTCACCTTGTTCTACGTGTGATACCTTGTTCTACGTGTGACACCTTGTTCTCTGTGTCACCTTGTTCTACGTGTGTCACCTTGTTCTACGTGTGACACCTTGTTCTACGTGTCACCTTGTTCTCCGTGTGTCACCTTGTTCTACATGTGTCACATTGTTCTCCGTGTCACCTTGTTCTACGTGTGTCACCTTGTTCTACGTGTCACCTTGTTCTCCGTGTGTCACCTTGTTCTCCGCGTGTCACCTTGTTCTCCGCGTGTCACCTTGTTCTACGTGTCACCTTGTTCTACGTGTGTCACCTTGTTCTAAGTGTGTCACCTTGTTCTCCACGTGTCACCTTGTTCTCTGTGTGTCACCTTGTTCTACGTGTCACCTTGTTCTCTGTGTGTCACCTTGTTATCCGTGTCACCTTGTTCTACGTGTGTCACCTTGTTCTACGTGTGTCACCTTGTTCTACGTGTCACCTTGTTCTCCGCGTGTCACCTTGTTCTACGTGTGTCACCTTGTTCTCCACGTGTCACCTTGTTCTCTGTGTGTCACCTTGTTCTCTGTGTGTCACCTTGTTCTCTGTGTGTAACCTTGTTCTCCGTGTGTCACCTTGTTCTCCGCGTGTCACCTTGTTCTACGTGTCACCTTGTTCTACGTGTGTCACCTTGTTCTACGTGTGTCACCTTGTTCTCCGCGTGTCACCTTGTTCTCCGCGTGTCACCTTGTTCTCCGTGTGTTACCTTGTTCTACGTGTGTCACCTTGTTCTCCGCGTGTCACCTTGTTCTCCGCGTGTCACCTTGTTCTCTGTGTGTCACCTTGTTCTCTGTGTGTCACCTTGTTCTCCGTGTCACCTTGTTCTAAGTGTGTCACCTTGTTCTCTGTGTGTCACCGTGTTCTACGTGTGTCACCTTGTTCTACGTGACACCTTGTTCTCTGTGTGTCACCTTGTTCTCTGTGTGTCAACTTGTTCTCTGTGTGTCACCTTGTTCTCCGTGTCACCTTGTTCTAAGTGTGTCACCTTG